ATCACCTGCCCCCATTCCCCCTTCAACTCCTCTACCAGCATAACGCTTGTGAGCCTCATCAGAAACCAACACCTCCCATATCCAGGCCTTGGTTCATTTCTGCTGCTCTAGGTGAAGGTATTGTAGTAGAGCCTCGTTTGCTTCTTGGTCCAGCCCCTGGAGTGCGGTGTAGATGATCTGCTTCTCATCTACTTCATAGTTCAGCTCCTCCAATGCCCTCACATACTCATCCACCCTCTGGAGGTACTGCACAATGGTCTCCTTATCGCCATAGTTGCGTTCCATGGTGTAGAACCGCTTCCTCCAGGTGAGTATGCTTAGCAACCCTTTTTGCAAATGTCGATCTTGAACTCTCTTCCATGCTAGTGCAGCTGCTCCTTGCTTGCCCTTCAGGTCAATCAGCATCTTTAGGAGCTCTAGTTGGCCTTCCAAGGCCCAACACAGGTACTAGAACGCTTGCTTGTCCTTGCGGTCCCATGCTTCCTGTGCCTTAATAACTCCTCTGTACTAAGCCGTTGCCTTCCGGTTCGCGGTGCTGCTGATCCACCTCCACTTCCCTCAGTTATGGATGAGCTAAGGGCTCCCCCAGCCCCTTCTCCCACTTGGCTAGAGACTCCAGTAGATGCCTTTCCTTCATCAGCTTCAGGTCTTCGCTCCGATCCCTCCAAAACGCCTTCTAGGTCTTTGATACCTAACCATAGCGAAAAATCCGAGCCGGTGAACCTAGGAGGGCCATCTAATTTCTGGGCCATGACCAACCCTAGATCTGAAGGTCCTTCAACCAATTCAAAATATAATGAAAAGAGGGAATGTCGCAGGCCTAACCAGCTCTGATAACACTGATGGAAAGCGAGCGAATCTGGAGAGCGTACAAGAGATTAAGTCCGCCGAATTTGACAGAACATTGCGTGCAGCTCACGTAACCTTAAACTATGAGCAGGTACGCGTTGGAAAGTTCTTAATCTCTACTTTCCAAAATGGTAACGCAAGCCTTCAACCAAGATTTAGGGCGATCGCTATCGCGATGTAAGTGCAACGGGGTATCCTGGCGAAATTACTTGGAAGCCATGGATTAGATCAAGAAAGTAGCTTTAGCAAGAGTTCAGATTTGCAAAGTGAGGAGTTGTTCAAACCCTACCAACCCAACCCTCGCCCTACAACAATCCCCAAGAACCCAAAGTGCTAAACTAGCAACACCAAAGGTGTTGTAGTGAATAGCAAAGGTTTGTTGGTGCTTGTTGGGTGCGAGATCAATTCCAGCCCGCAACAAGTCTAACCACCACATTTTGCCCAAACCCTTAGCCCACAACCAGCTAGAGCAAAATACCACAACCACCTATACAATCAACAGTGTTGTGGTTTGGCGGGAAAGGTATCAAGTAAATCTGAGCCTGGTTTCGAGTGGGATATACCCTTTTGCGTGCTACTCAATAGTCCTTCCGTTGTGCGCTGTGATAGGTGATGTATTGTTCGAATTTAAACGTTCACGCAAGAGTCATTTGGAGTAGTTTACGTATAAATAAGTTACTGATGCAGCACCATCAATATCAAACCATAAAAGTACTCGCAAAAAGTTTTTTTCATCCAGCAAAACCCTTGGTCCCATACCGTACCCGGATATCAGTGGAAAATATTACAGGTACATTGATATAACTTCTAACATAATACAAATAGGGTTGCCATAATGATGTGCATCAACGGCCTTCTTTTTCCGAGACGCTTGTCTCACATAATGCGAGGACCACTCAAGAAAATCCTGAAACAACTCCTCCCTCCATTGCCAAGAAAACCCATAGAGTTCGATGAGCCTGGGCTGCCTAAACCCTGACTCGATCAAGGACTGCATGAACTTCATTACGAAAACGCCACAATCCCACGTGTTTGTCTGCTGGGTAACCTGTAGTAGGGGCATGAAATGGAACCAGTAGGGATCTCAGAACACCAGACAACAAGAATATGCTGAATACGGTAGCTGACATACCTCTATGGGGATACATTCGATAGCCGCGTCCCACTGATCTGCAGTTTCCTCCGTGGTCCCTGGACACAAGTGAATGAGTTATCCACGCAGATGATTGCAATGTTGCTCGCAGCAGGGTAGCAAGGGTTCACATGAAACTTTGTGAAACACACACAACATTGATATGGGAAATGGTGCTATTAAACAAAAAGAAAACCACACCTTCGAATAGCGGGCTAGAAGCCGTGGTGACAACCCAACGAGTCCACGTGCAGGATGCGGGTAAGTCGTGGTATTATGGTATCATCTGTAAGTTCTTCATTGTCGAGTATAATCAGACTCCAATGATTCCTGCAGAGATCACATGTCAATATTTTGGGAAGATATGGACAGCAACATTCACCAGGGGCCATGACGCCATCGAAGGAAGCCATACATGTGGGAACACAAAGTCTTACCCCATATGAAGTGGGATTAGGACCCATTTAAAGGACAGGAGGTAAACGCCGTACGTGATGTTGCGCCTCGATCCGGCGCGGTGCGGTAGAGTGAGGAGATGGTAAAACGTTGTTGAAACGTATAGCCATTCGCGACATTCCAGATCGTGCTGTATTGCATCATCCTGAAACAGTATGAGTAGCCAACATGGATTTTGTCCACGACACAACTGACATAATATTACGCACTTGAGTACAAGGCATTGGATACTTAAGTGCCGTACCAGTATATAATGTCGCCACTAATCCACTCTTGATCCACTAGAGATCCAGCTTGCTCAGATCCAATAGTTAACCATCCTCCTCCTAGCGGGTAAGGCATGGAGTGTCAAACTTATATGCTGCTTATTGTGTAGGCTATCGTGGGGTAGCCCATATGGGGTACAACCCAATTAGGGTTTGCTACTTGTACACACATTGCTGCTAGTTCATCCATTCTCGTGTATTTTGCTTACATGGTTTCAGAGCAGGTCCTAGTCTAGGACCGTTTTTTTAGGGCCCACCGAGTAGCGCTACCCCACCCGTCGCGCTGCCGCGATCGCGCCGCCCTGCCCTGCCCTGCCCTGCGTCGCGCTGCCCGCGCACGCCCTGCCCTGCCCGCGCGCCGCTCGCCGCAGCGCGCTCTGCTTTGCCCGCGCGCCGCCCGCTGCAGCGCGCCCTGTTTACCCGCACGCGGCCTGCCTCAACGTGCCCTGCCCTGCCCGAGCGCTGCGCCGCCGCGTCGCCCTGCCCGCGCGCCGCGCCGCCGCGTCGCCCTGCCCGCGCGCCGCCCGCCGCCGCGCGCCCTGCTCTGCCCGCGCGCCGCCCGCTGCGCCCTGCCCTGCCCGCGCACCGCGCCGCCAAACGCCCTGCCCTGCCCGCGCGCCACGCCGCTGCGCCGTCCCGCCCTGCCCGCGCGCTGCGCCGCCGCGCGCCCTGCCCTGCCGCGCGCCGCTTGCTGCTGCGCCGCCCTCTCCTGCTGCCCGCGCGCTGCTCGCCTAGCCTGCGTGCTGCCCTGCTGCTAGCGTGCTTGCTTGCCTAGCCCTACCTGCGTGCTTCTCTGCTGCTAGCGCGCCCAACTGCTCTGCCCACTATGGCCACGCTCAGTGTCCTCACTTTTGATCCGGAGGGCCGCCCCATAGAGTTCGATGCGTGGCTCGACGACTTACAGCTGTACTTACTGAGCGATTCCAAGGACGGAGTTTCACTGTTTGACCTCACGTCTGGCGCCTCTCTCGCCCCTGTCGCCACAGCTGACAGTGCGACTCGCTCACAGTGGCTTACTCGTGACGCTGCTGCTCGCCTAGCCAATCGCAACCACATGCCGTTAGCCGAACGCGCTCACTTCGGACAGCACAAGACTGCGAAAGCACTGTACGACGCTGTAGTCGCTCGTTACTCCTCCCCGACCACTACTGCTCTAGGCCACTTTCTCCTACCCTACCTGTTCCCAGAGCTGTCCGCCTTTGCCACAGTAGCCGACCTCGTCACTCACCTTCGCACTAGTGACACTCGCTAGCGCGCTGCGCTTTCCGCCGAGTTCCTCCCATGTACATCACTCTCTACTTCATAGTCACCTGCCTCCCTGACTCTCTTAGCGCTGTTAGGGACCTCCTTCTTGCCCTTGGCCCCACCGACCTCACTGTCGACCTGCTCGAGAAGCACCTCGTAGCAGCTGAGACTAGCATAGTCGCTGTAGGCGCTTCTCGTGGCACTCCTCGCACTCCCTTCTTTGAGGGGTGTTCGCCCTCCCCCCTTCTCCCCTCAGTCGCCTCTGCTGCAGCTGTTGACTACCTTCGTGCTGAGTAGGTAGGAGCTGCGTCTGCCCCTAGTGGGAGGCGCCGCAGCGGCAGGGGCAGGGGAGGCAGGGGCGGTGGGGGTGGCAGAGGTGGAGGCGGTGGTGGGGGCGGTGGAGGCGGTGGAGGGGGCGGCGGTGGCGGAGGGAGTGGTGGTGGGGGTGGAGGTGTAGGTGGCGGCGGTGGTGGCGGCAGTGGGAGTGGTGGAGGCGGCAGTGGTGGCGGCAGTGGGAGTGGAGGCAGCGGCAGTGGTGGCGGCCGGGGTGGTACCAGCCAGAGGGGAGGCCTTGGCGGTGGTCAGAGGCAGCAGCAGCAGCGTCAGCCCCTTTCGTCTCAGGAGCTACGTGAGTGGTTTGCTCAGCGTGGGGCGGCTGGGGGTGGTGGTCGCTGCCCGTATTGTCGCGATATATATATATATAAATATATGTTTATAACTGCCTGTCGCTTTAGCTTTAGTATAGTTATACAAACCTGGCTGGTGATGCACCTCCTGTTTATTTGCTATATGTACCTTTGGTCCTATAGTGAACACAATAATTTCTCGTCATTCTCCCTTGGCACAACTCCCTCGATACCCACTTGGCCTAGGCTTCTAAGCCTAGGCCCTTAGTTAAACCCGGTTACCAGCTCAGGTCGTATCGTAACATGGTATCAGAGCTAGGTCCGATTAGGACCGTTTTCAAATGGGCCCACCATTAAAGCTCGCAATGGCGCGCCCCTTAGTGCGCCTCGTAAGCGCTTTCCCGTTTTCAGCCCATCGCCCGCGCATTACCAGCAACGCACGCCACCGCGCACGCCAGGAATGCACCAAGAACGCCAGGAATGCACCAAGAACGCCAGGAACGCACCCGCCAGCGTGCACGCTGACGGACCCGCCAGCAAACCCGCCGACGGACCCGCCAACGGGAGCGCCAGCAAGCCCACCGACGGACCCGCCGGCGGACCCGCCAGCGCGCGCGTCAGCAAGCCTGCCGACGAGCCCGCCAACGGACCCTCCAGCGCTCGAGTCAGCACGCTCGCCGAGGAACCCGCCAACGGGCCCGCGAGCGAGCCCGCCAATGGACCCGCGGCCGTCACGCTGCCTCGTCGCAGCTCCCTGGCGCGGAAACAGCGGCGGACGTAGTGGGGCCGAAGAGGAGAGGGGGAAAGGAGTGGCGGCAGCCAGCGCCAGCATCCGCCAGTCACGCCTCCTCCCCGCCCGCCCTCCCGTCGACTTTGCAGCTGCTGTGAAGGGAGTGGCAGGAGTGGCGGGGGTGATGGGAGTGGTGGGAGAAGCTGCTTCTACGCCGCTACATGCGCATAACCGCTCGCGACCCGCACCTTGCACCCCATCCGACCCCGTGGCACCACCAGTAGACCCTACTATCCCGCCCGTTCCAGTCCCCGGCCCGCCCAGCGCACCACCCCATCGGACCCGCCAGCACCAGCACCAGCACCGACGCCAGACACTAGCGCCGTCACGCCAGCATCAGGCACCAACACCAGCGCCGCCGCGCCAGCAGAGACCCCGCCAGCAGATCCCGCTAGCAGAGACCTCGCCAGCAGAGACCCCGCCAGCAGAGACCCTTCTAGCAAGGACCAAGCACCAGCACCAGCTCCAGTGCCGTCACGCCAGCACCAGGCGCCAGCACCAGCACCAGTCGCCAGCACCAGGAACCAGCACCAGCACCAGCCGCCAGCACCAGGAACCAGCTCCAGCGCCGTCACTTAGCACCAGGCGCCAACACCAGCACCAACCGCCAGCACCAGGAACCAGCACCAGCACCAGCCGCCAGCACCAGGAACCAGCACCAGTGCCAGCCGCCAGCACCAGGAACCAGCACCAACACCAGCCGCCAACACCAGGAACCAGCACCAGCACCAGCACCAGCCGCCAGCACCAGCGGGGTTGAGTGGGCGGGTAAGGGGGTGGAAGAAGTAAGTCGGGCATTTGCAGCCGTTGCCTGTAGCTCGCACGCCCCCGGAGGTGCCGAGCGGTGCTGTCCTGCTGCTTGTTTCAGCTACAACGCCTGCTCTCACGCCCACCTGCCGGGTCCTGCACCTGTCGATGCTGCATCTGCCTGGCTGAGGTCACAGTGGCTCTATCTGCCATCACTGCAATTGCTGCCTGCCGCAGGCACGCCCCCGGAGGTGCTGAGCCGCGCTGTCCAGCTGCTCGTTGCAGCCACGGCGCTTGCTCTCACGCCCACCTCTTGGGTCCTGCACCTGCCGTTGTTGCAATTATCATGGCTAATCTGTGTTGCTGTTTCCCCTGCTTCTTCTACCTCTTGCCCAGGTTCTTGGGGTGTGACTTGCTCTAGTTATTTGCTGCAGGCAGTTAAGGGGGTGTGTCGCAATATATATTTATATGTGTTCATAACTACCTGTAGCTTTAGCTTTAGTGTAGTTATACAAACCTGGCTGGTGGTGCACCTCTTGTTTGTTTGCTATATGTACCTTTGGTCCTATAGTGAACACAATCATTTCTCGTCATTCTCCCTTGGCACAGCTCCCTCGATACCCGCTTGGCCTAGACTTCTAAGCATAGGCCCTTTGTAAACCCGGTTACCACCTCAGGTCGTATCGTAACACGTATGTCATTCGCACAGGTGACAGCTCTGGTCAGACATGCGCGCAGCCTCACACACAGCACTGTTGCATCTCCTGTCTCACCGACGCCTTTCGCGCAGAGTTTCCCAACGCGACTGAGCTCCCCCACTGGGCAGAGCAGCTTAGGCAGGGTGTGGATATCTTTGCTCTTGACTATGATGCTATCCTTGCTGCCATGTATGCATTGACTGTTAGTGCTGAGGGTGACTGTTACCTGTGTATGGCGCCCGACCCAGGTATAGAGGTCGCTGCTCTAGGTGCTGGTGAGTCTGCTGCTCTAGGTGCTAGTGAGTCTGCTCTCTCTGGTACTGCGCCTGCTGAGGCCTTGCACACCTTCATGCTTGACTCAGGTGCTTCCCGCTGTTTCTTTCGCGACAGTACCGCACTCACACCACTCCCAGCACCTGTTGCTGTCTCTCTAGCTGACCCCTCTGGATGCCCAGTCCTTGCACGTTCCTCCACTGTTCTCCCGTGTCCGGCGGTTCCGTCTAGCTCACTGTCAAGTCTTCACCTCCCCTCATTCTCTACGAACTTGGTGAACAACGCCGTCCTTCAGGATGTATGGGTTGACACCTTTACTCCAGGAGGATAGCATGTAGCGATCTGTACGTGCTCCCAGACTGGCCGGCACCTCGCCACGTTCACCCGTGCGCCTGGCACGATCTGTACACACTGAATACAATGTCTCCTCAGGTAGCTGCGTCAGCGTCTGCATCAGGTCAGCTAGCGGCCCCCTGCTCGTGTCGCGCTCTGTCGCACCAGACCCTCCTTTGGCACCACCGTCTTGGTCACCCCTCAGTGCAGCGCCTCTGTGGCATGCACTCTCGTCTCCTTGTCTCTGGTCTTCCCAAGACTCTGCCTCCCCTCCCACCCTCGCCTACCCCTCCCTGCCTTCCCTGTGTCAAGGGGCGGCAGCGCGCCGCTCTTCACTCCTCCTCGTTTCCCCCGATGACTGCTCCCCTACAGACTCTCCACATGGACGTGTGGAGCCCAGCCCGCGTCCGTGGACAGGGCCGCAAGCGCTACTTTTTCCTGGTTGTTGACGACTACACGCGTTACACCACGGTCTTCCCCTTGCGCAGCAAGGGGGAGGTCCCTGATGTTTTGATCCCTTGGATCCGCACTGTCCGTCTCCAGCTCCGCGGCGGTTCGAGACGGTCCTTCCCGTCATGCGTCTGCACTCTGACAAAGGTGGTGAGTTTGCCTCCGACCTTTTGAGGGACTTTTGTGGTGGGGAGGGCATTCGCCAGACGATCACGCTTCTGGCCTCTCCGCAGCAGAATGGGGTTGCTCGTACCTCCATGATCCATGCCGCTGCCCCCGATTTTCTGTAGCCGTTTGCGGTCCGATACGCTGCGCATCAGCTCAACCTTTGGCTCCGTGTCTCCTTGCCGGAAATCTCGCCGACACTGCGTTGGATGGGAGAGGTTGGCGACGCGTCGGTGTTACGGGTCTGGGGATCTCGTGCCTTTGTTCGTGATACGTCCGCGGACAAGCTATCCGCTCGCGCCATTCCCTGTATCTTCCTTGGTTTTCCCCCTGACGCGCCTGGCTGGCAGTTTTACCACCCCACCTCGCGCCGTTTCCTGCCCTCTCAGAACGTCACGTTTGACGAGTCGGTTCCCTTTTACCGTCTATTCCCCTACCACACTGCACCTCTTCCCCCCCCCCTGTCGCTCTTCCTTGCACCAGGTCCTCCTCCGGTAGACCCCCCCCCCCCCCCTCAGGGTCCTGCTCCCTCAGGTGTGTCTTAGGTAGACCCTGTCAAGCGTGTCGAGGTCGCTGTCGACTCTGGTGCTGCTAGGGGTGCTGAGCCTGCACGTGCGGAGCCTAGGGGTGCTGAGCCTGAGTGTGCGGAGCCTGGGGGTGCTGAGCCTGAGTGTGCGGAGCCTGGGGGTGCTGAGCCTGAGCGTGCGGAGCTTGGGGGTGCTGAGCCTGAGGTTGCTGAGTCTGGGGGTGCTGAGCCTGGGCGTGCTGAGCCTAGGGGTGCTGAGACTGGGGGTGCTGAGCCTGGGGGTGCTGAGTCTGCTCGAGGTCCTACAGGTAACTCGTCACGGCGGGAGCCTCTCTCTCCACCGCAGCTGCGCGAGTGGTTTGCTCGGCGCTGGAGCCTTCGGAGTGGCGCTGCTAGAGCTGGGGGGTCTCCCGCTGGAGGCCCTGGAGCTGGAGGTACTGGAGCTGCTGGAGCTGGAGGTGCTGCCGGCGTTGGAGCTGGAGCTGCTAGAGTCGTTGGTCCCGGAGGTGCTTGTACTGGAGGTACTGGAGCTGCTGGAGCTGGTGGTACTGCGGGAGTTGGAGCCGGAGGTACTGGAGCAGTTGAAGCTGGAGGTACTACTAGAGGTGGAGCTGCTAAAGGTGCTGGAGCTGGTGGTACTGCAGGCGTTGGAGCTAGAGACCCTGGAGCTGGGGGTACTAGTGATGTCGGTGCTGGTTCTGGAGGCCCTGTGCGGCCGCGGCCGTACTTCGTTACACTGCTTCAGCAGGTTCTTGGTCTCCCGTCTTCTACTGGCCTTACTCCTCCCTTACTGTGTCCACCGCCTGACCAGTCGCAATCGCAGTTACAGCCAGCCTCCCCTCCTCCTTCTCCTTACACTGAGCAAACAGGAGGTATTACAGAGCGTCGTGAGCCTGCGTCTTGTCCTGCCTCGCCTGTTCGAGATGTTCGCATTGGTCGTCGTATCCCGCGTCAGCGTCCTCCTCCTGTTCCCGGCACGCACCATATGGCACTTCGTCCTTCCTTTGTTCCACAGCGTGTCCCTCTGCCGTCTCCTCCTGCGTCCTCTCTTCCTGACGTTCCTGACCCTGCATCTGACCTTGCTCGTGCTGCCAGTCCTACTGTCACACGTCTTCTAGCCACTGTTGTCACTGACCTTTCGTTTGAGTCCACTGCTGCGTCTGCCCTAGTTGCTGAGCTTGTTGACTTTGCTGCCGCCTGTCGTCTCGACTACGCCGCTAGTCTTGTGCTGTTCCGAGTCTGCCTGTCCTCCGTCCATCGGGGATGAGTGTGCTCTTGGCACGGACGTCCTTGAGGACAGGCAGGAGGACTTTGAGTGCTTTGCAGCTGCTGTACCTCATCTCGTATCCATGCTGATTGCACCTGAGGGAGACCCAGATGCACCAAACATTTTGATTCCGCGCTCTTACGCAGAGGCGATAAGGGTCCCTACTCCTCTCAGTGGCAGTCAGCCATGGACGCAGAGATGACTTCCTGGAAGTCCACAGGCACCTACGTCGACGAGGTTCCCCCACCTGGGGCAAACATAGTCGATGACATGTGGATTTTCAGGGTGAAGCGGCCGCCGGGTTCTCCGCCTGTCTTCAAGGCGCGTTACGTTGCACGAGAATTCAGACAGCGACAGGGAGTTGACTTCTTCCAGGCCTTCTCCCCTACCCCAAAGATGACCACTCTTCGGGTACTGCTGCACGTCGCCGCTCAGCGTGACTACGAGCTTCACTCTCTTGACTTCAGCACACCTTTCTTACAGGGCAGCCTGCACGAGGAGATCTGGCTGCGCCGCCCACCTGTCTTCACTGGGTCGTTTCCTGCATGTACCCAGTGGAGCCTCCGGCGGCCAGTCTAAGGTCTCCAGGCACCTTGCGAGTGGCACGACACACTGAGGACGACGCTTGCGGCTCTTGGGTTTGCTCCTTCGACTGCTAACCCGTCGCTGTTTCTACGCACCGACACTTTGCTGCCGCCGTTCTACATCCTCATGTACGTCGACGACTTGGTCTTTGCCACT